AGATGAGGTCTCGCTGCCCAGGTGGGTCTCGAACCCACGGGCTCAGGCAATCCACTCACCTCAGCCTCCCAAAGGTGCGGGATTACAGGCTAAGCCACCGAGCCCGGCAGATGCTACATTTTTAAAGAGATAAGGTCTTGCTATGTTGCCCAGGCTGGAGTGTAGTGCTATTCACAGGCACAATCATTGTGCACAACAGCCTTGAACTCCTGGGCTCAAGTCATCCTCCTGCCTCCTGCCTCCTGCCTGAGCAGTTGAGACTACAGGTGCGCACCACTGCTCCTAGCTAGATGCTGCATGTTTAACAAATTCCCCAGTGATGCACATGAAGCTGGTCCCAGGACCACACTTTGAGTAGCAAGGGGCTAGAATTCAGTCTTTACCCCAGCCCCAGGGAACTGAGCCTGTGAATTTCTCAACTCTTCAAGCATCAGCCCAGTTCTTTTTGACCCTCACCTCCTGAGGAGGCCACCGCTACCAGGATGAGGGAATCCTCACGCCCTGCGGGCTCCTCCGAGTACTGCAGTTTCTCTGTCACAGAGCCCAGAATGTCCTGCACAGATGCTGAAAGGCGGCTGCGTATGGTCACATAGGAGTGGTCAGGCATGTAGACCCGGCAGAAGACTGGACGGAGACAGGAAAGCGGTTTTTCAACAGAGGGCAGAGCAGCAGCACTGGCACAGTCCCCTCCAGGAAGGTGCTGTAAAAGGTTCTGGTTCCACTAAACAGGGAGACTCCACTGAGGGTCCCCAGAAACCCCACATGTCCTTCTGAGCCACTCAGGATGCCCTGCCCCCTCTAATTCCCACACTCACTTTCATCAGAGCCCCGGAAGGCCACTCGGGTCTGCAGGCAGGAGTCTATCCGGCGGAAGTGGCGGAAGAGTGGTTTCACCTGCTTGCTAGACGGTTGGCTCTCCTCTGGAATCCTGGCATGGATAAAGCCGGGCATCAGAAACCCCTGCTGGGCATACGAAGCATCAAGCAGGCAACATCAAGCAGGAATATCAGAACTGGGTCAAGTGTGCATCAACACCCATTTCAGAAGATTGTTAAGGGGATCAGAAGAGAGAACAATGACCAGCATGGGACAACTGTCGAAGTGACTGAAGTCAAATACCACTTCTTCCACGAATTCTTCTCTGAATCACCCTACCCGCCAGAAAAGGTCACTTTCTTGCTGTAGAACACTGAAATATTTGTTTATGTTTGTGTCTTATCTTTTTTTTTGTTTTCTTTTTTTTTGAGTTGGAGTCTCACTCTGACGCCCAGACTGGAGTGCAGTGACCGCTCCCGACCACCGC